AATTCCGAAAATATTTTTCCCACCTCTAACCCATCATCCTGGCATTTAATCTTTGGACGATGAGGGTTTCCTTGAAAAAGCGAAATTGATATTTCCGTTTGCATCACAAGCAGCATGTTCGTATCAAGATTACATAAAATCCCTGTAACTTTTTCTCCAAATCAGCCGGATGGCATTGTATGAGTGTTTCTCTTTCTGTCTCGTCTTTTACGGTATGAGCGCATGTTTTTCATGCCATAATTCAAGCCGGACGACCTCGTTTGGGAAGCAATCGACGGTTGAACATATGATTGAAATAAAAACGTTGAGTAGTTTTTGCATGCATGGATAAATAGTGCCCAAAATTTCACAGAAAGCCCTTTTAACTTCTTGTGCTAAGGATACTTACTTGCATTTCAATTTCGTGCCAAGAAAATTCTCGAGCATGTCAAGCGGGGGTCCAGGATGCAGTCCATGAGCATATCCTCATGAAAGGAATGCGACCCTACCAGTAGGTCGGTGCGGTGCAAACATGATATGAAGCATGTGTTTGTATTGCCCCAAATCGAGATAGCCGTATTCCCTCATATTGGCTCGTATTAAAAAATTGACAACACGGTCGCCGCAAGATGAAAGGGTTAGCACTCTGCACAAGCATTCTGGAGGGACGATAAAATAACTTTGAAGAAATGGTTTCTGTATCCATGCTGCTTTTATTAAATATAAGTTTCAGTTGTTATTGATAGATACCGAGGCTTTGCAAGTGAATAGGAGATCACTTTCGAATTAGAAAGGAAAAGTAAATGGATGGAGATGATGAGGATAGGTGACAATGCATTAATTGTGGCGGCAGCATGAAGAGAGGCGATGTCCTGCGCTTTATATACCAGGGCAACGGCACGATGAGAGGCAGTAGCCATACCGTGGTAACGGTAACAACATGGGCAGTATTCCATGGTTTTCATACTGAGGCGATAATAAGGAAAATTGTAGATATTTTCGGTATCATCATCATGGTAACGGAATACGCATGATTAAGAAAACGGGTATAATGCAACACCCCCACTTAGATCCAACGTTGAACATTTCGCAAACACTCTTCGGTGTCCTCTGAAATCGGTTCAATTAGCTGAAGGAACATCGTCCATGACAGATACGCACCTCCACAACAGCCAGAGAAGTGAAGTATGGAAGTAATACCTCCTCGGACTTCCCCTTATCAAACGAATCATTCCATACAAGACCCATGCAAACAGAAACGCGAGTCTTCGTAGCTCATCCCAGTCGGCATCGCGTGGATTCCCGTATTGTTGCATCGTTCCTTTCAACGTCGCCTGGAGACTCATCACGTCAGTTTCCTGTTTTCTAATGTCTTGCGGGAATAGAAAATGTTGCTCTGTCTTCCAGCGCGCTATACCCCCACGTCCCGAATTTGAAAGGCAAGCGAATTCTGCGCTGAAGCAAGTAATTCATGGGGCAAAATGTACGAGGTCCAATCGCTTCTCGAGAACTCCACTCTTTTTAATATTTTCATGAGAAATGAGCTCTGAAGATTTTAGAATGTTGAATCACGACGGACTGCTTTTCGCTAATTATTTTCTTTGCAACTTAACTCTGTAATTGCCCGTAATCCCCTTTCCACATTAGAGTTGTCACTCTCCTCGTCCATCTGAAACACTGAGAGAAACGATTTTATCGGTCGCAGAAAAAGGAGCAAGGCGTTTTTCCCGTACCGAGAAAAATATTTACATCTTATCGGTCTCCTAGGTCACCGTATCTCGCAGTCTTGCGCCTACTCCACGGGGAAACTCACTTCTATCGTTCTTCTTTCGTCGACGCCATCCCATTTCGTCCGCAGATTATTCTGTGAAATCGTTGAGAGTGTGCTGCGATTCCTTGAATGGTGCTCCACTTCCACCCCAAGAATGGCATATTCGGCCGAGAAGAAGAAAACCATCATCATCCAGAAAGACATGGACGATCATAATGGTCTTTCGAAGGACATCTCCGAATCCTTCAAGATCGGACCCTCCTGGTGCGACGTCGTCATTCTCATCCAAGGCTCCAAATTCTACTCGTGCAAAGGCATCCTCGCTTCCGTGTCTCCCTATTTTCGACAGATGTTTTCCACTGACTTCAAAGACGTTTCGCAGGCAGAGATCAGGTTGGAGGGATTCACCAAAATAGGATTCCAGCCGGTTTGGGATTACATACATGGAACGCGAATGGAAGTGGAAGGGGAGGAAGGGGCAATTGCTACTTTTCGAGATGCACATTATCTCGGGATGCAACGATTATGCAAAAAAATTAGCAGGACCATAAAGACGTTACTGGACGCGGAGAATGCCTTTCGTATCCTCCAACTTGCCGAACAATACGAATACAGGGATTTGGTAGAAGCTGCCGTTGCGCTCATTGCTCGCCGTTTCGACCAGGTCGTGCAAACACGGGAATTCACGAGTATCTCATTCGAGGCTCTCTCTTCGTTCTTGGATCGAGATGATTTGGGAGTAAATTCAGAGAAAGACGTGTACGAAGCAGCGCGCAAATGGCTGGATCACGATTCGAGCCGGAAGAGTCATTTACCGGATCTCCTGGACAAAATCCGTCTCCCTCTCCTGTCGTACGAATATCTGAAATCGGTGGTTCTCGAGGATCCGATTATTTCTGATGATCACAGGTGCCTCGGCATTATCACGGACGCAAGAGACTATCACATTCCAGAGCTCCGCCATACTGTGCCGGAGGAGAAAACCAGATCACGAGTCCCATCCGGGTTCGTTTGGTGCATGAACAAAGATGAGAAGATCTATCGCACGAATCCAAATGATAATTGGGATTTGGTTGAAATCACGACCAATCCTCTGAGTGCTATTTCTTCCTTTGCAGCAATGGACAGAAAACTGTACGTGACAGAGATGGGTAAGATGAAGATTTTTGACGTTGAGGAGGGGGAATGGAAGGATGGGCCCAAGCCAAGGGAGTATCTTAAATGGTCGGCGACTGCAGTCTCCTCCGGATCCATCTTCATCTGTGGTGGGAGGAATGAAAGGAGCGAAATTGAAAGAAGTTCGTTTCGGTTTTCGGTGGAATCAGGGGAATGGATACGACTCAGTGATATGAACTATGAGGGTTTTTGGGCAGCCGCGTGTTATCACGACTCTTGCCTACACGTCATTGGAGGAGGTCCAAATTTTACTGAACATGAGCGTTTGGATGTGCGAACGTCCCGATGGGAAGAGTTGGCTCAGCTGCCGAAACCAAGGTGGGGCCATGGGGTGTCACCTAAAGAAGACGACCTCGTCTTGGCTGGGGGATATACAAATAAGAAAGAGGTGTTCGTCTATGATAGAAGAAGAAATTCGTGGCGGGAGTGGCCAAACATGTTGGATGGACGACATTTTCACGGATTGATATATTGGAACGGAAATTTGTATGCTGTCGGAGGAGAGAAGAATTCGTCAGTCGAAGTGTTTAATGGAACAAAATGGGAAATTGCCAAGAAATATGATGTTGGTGGTTTCATGTATGCCTGCTTAATGACGAATTGAGGAAATATGTAAATTTCCCTTCGGGACAAACACACTAAGTATAAGTCCATTCATTTCATATCCTATTTGGATCCCAATTTGAGGAAATGAAACATTTTTTATTATCCTCCTGCTATTCTTATCAATTTTCTTGAAATCGTAATGATTCCTAAATTGTCCCCCGAAATTCGTATTCCATCATGAAAGTCTGCGAATTTTTTCTGCCCTGTAAAAAGATAGTATTTATTACAAATATGTACTAGAAAATTGTAGACGCATCTCCTTCGAACAATTTGTCGGGAAAATGAAAGTGCATGGAAAAGAGACAGTAACCTGGATGTCTCTTCCTATTTCTCCTTTTTTTTTACCCATCCCGCCGCCTCCTACCCGACTCCTCGACCTCGCCTCCCCTTTCCACGACCTCGCCTCCCCTTTCCTCGACCTCGCATCCCCTTTCCTCCCGGGGATCCATGTCTCTCGACCCCATCCACTTCCTCTTGGATCCGATCGGCGTCGCAGACGCTGGAAAGCGCCGGCCGTTGCATGATCGACTCCCCCGCCTCCACCAAATTATTATAACGTGAAATGCATTGGAATATATTCTGTACATTGGACTGCATTTTTTTGCTTCCGTTCTTTGAAAGAGCTCTGCCGCGACCCGCCTTTCTCCTTTCATCTCATTATATTAGTGCTACAGTGCGAGGCAAGTGTAAAAGAGAGAAAACGGACTGAGGCAAAGGGAGTCGGAACTAAGACTCGAAAAAAAGAGCCAACACCCTTAAGACTCAAAACGTGCTCTTAGTGGGCAAAACATTTCTCGGCATCAGTTTTGAAATTGCGAAGTTCTCACTTCATTTTCACTCATGCGGTTCGTGGAATTTTTTTTTTCGGATCTCTCCATCTCCATTGATTTTACGCCCAGTACTTTCCCTTGGGCAAAAATTCCGAAAATATTTTTCCCACCTCTAACCCATTGTCCTCGCATTTAATCTTTGGAGGATGAAGGTTTCCTTGAAAAAGCGTAATGGAATACGCGAACCCATATAAAATAAACGGCAACAATTCAATAAAAAACAATTAAAAATTAAATACGAAAAGAAACGTGGATTGGGGGGGGAGGGGTCAAAGGTTTCTCGATGAATTTGAAGGTGGAAAATAAGGCACGATCGGCGAATGAAGGAGGTCCAGCAGCAGATTGATAGCGAATATAATACTGTGAGCGGAGGCCGCGGGCGGCGTTTTCGTCACGAATGAGTCAGTCAGGCTGGTCCGCGGAGGTTCGGCCGAGTGAACTTGAAGGAAGTCAAGCAGTCCTTTTATACCCTCCTGTAGGGGGGGGGGTCGGTGCGCGGGGCATGGGGATAATGAAGGCGCTTGACTCCTGGCCTGTCACAAGAAGGTGACGGTTAGATACTGAGGTTTTGCAAGTGGAATGACGGTTGCTTTCGAATCAGTTAGGAAAAAACAAGCATTTACGAGCATTTTCCTGGAATGAATGCATTCGGACGGTGGCCGGAGCATGTGCTGCCATCTCTTGCGAGCGTGGCGAACCAACGCAGATGCCCCAATTCCAAAATGGCTTCCGTGGGGCTCAATCCCCCGCCTCCGGAGCTTTGCGAGAACGATCCCAATTTTGCCGTCATCTGCAGCTTCTTGGACCAGTTTGGCGAGGCCTGTGGGATCGACTACCCCGCGATTGATGAGCTCAGTTTGATGCTTCAGGATACCAATGATGGTGTGTATATGTTAAGCGGCTGTCGGTTTCACGTGGCTTAGCATCGTGGCTTAGATAGGCCTAGGCCTAATTGAGATGGCATACGTTGGTTATTCGGCGCGTTCCTCTTCATCATCATATTGGCATTAAGCATTCATGAGTGTTGTGGTACTCCAAGAGGATAAGAAAAGATAGTTGGAAGTAATGGAAGGACCAGGAAGTAGTGTTGAGTTCTAATACGTAATTAGTGCCTCAGCCGATCATACCCAGAAATGCATATGAATTTCTTCTACTTACAATCGATTGACTTCTCATTTATTTTAAGAGAGACCTAAAACGCCAGCTAGTGACTTGCTATAATCAGGCTGTGTTGTCATGTTTCACTTTCCGTGATCCCACCCCTGCAGAGCTCATACTGCAGAGCTCATCATTTCACAGTTGATTGTTTTGCCTCTAAGTTCCTTGAAATGCTCATGAATGTTTAAAATAAAAAGGGCATATAGTGAGTATGTGGATGGGGAAGTAACCCAAAAAATTGTTGCATGAGTCCTAAACTTTCATGCTGCTAGTTCTTGCCATTAAAGGAAAGGCAAATGGTGGAGATACAGAGTAAGAATTAGGTATGTTCCCCTGGATAGAACTGGATCCAGGGCGCCCTAGACCTAGCCTCCCTGTATTTTGAATAGTGTTAGACATGTTTTTAAGTATGGTACTAGTTCATTTGCCAGTCATTGTTGGCCTAGGCACACAAGATAGGGTGAGGACATGTAGGGAAGCAGATGCAGGAACATGGTGTTAATGAGATCTGTCATACACAGAGGATATATATCTGAAATCCAGATATGATAAATGGCAGTGGCCATTGGGCCTTAGTTTAAATTTTAGGTCAAACATGAGACCCTATCTCAGCACTTTAAGCTTGTGTTGCTCTTTGCTGTATCTCAGAATACTTGTTATATGGAGCTGTCCCCATCAATATTAGCCCGTTTGGCTGAACCTGTATTCCTTAACTTTGCTCTCATGCTCTTCAACTTTAGTTCCAACAATTATCGTATTAGATGTAAAAGTATCCTAGGTTACAGCAGCTCCAAATTCAATTGATGGTTGTGACCATTTCTGCTAGGCTTGGCTCGGCCCGATGTAAAATTATGTCTATTTAGATATGCCTAAAGCTAAGCCTAGATACTGTCCTGTCTAATAATCAGTCAGGTGTCTTGGTTAGGCAGTAGGCTTAGTATAATCAGGTCCTGGTATGGCCATGGTAACATTTCATTAGTGTGGGACTAAGCCAAATGAAGTAATGTAATGATGGGTTTGGATTGGCCCAGGCTAGCTGCATATATATGGCTGAAGAGTTTGGAGTTGATGTTTGTTGGTGTATGAATAGGAATGAAACCATGTGAAAATGCATCTCCACTGAACTGGCTAGTCACACGAACAAAGACTGCTTTTACTAGTTGGAAGTCCATTGTCAGAGTCGTGGTCTTACCATAGATTAGCCTGGAGTTTTCACCCTCTGCATGTCGTACACCTAACATCAAATTAGAACCTTCCCCTTTCATTTCTTTTACCTTTAATCCTTCAGTTCCAAGGTTGTCACAACCATATCAGTGCTAATACAGTCTTGCAAGTATTTCTGCTATGTTTTCTCTATATCTCATGGCTAATGTATGGTACAAAATCAATGCATATGGGGATGAAGTGCTCATGCTCCTTGTTTTGAAGTATGAGCCATTGCTGTCCAGACAATGATGAAGCAATGCAATGTAAGGTAGACCCTGATTGCATTTAGCCATTTTAGCCATTTTGGCTAAATTACCATGCTCCAGTCTGTAGCTATTTGATCAGAGTACATGCAGATGTCCAATTTTTTTTTTTTGTTGCATAAAGTCTCACTGTATTGCATTCCCTAATCTACCTAGCTTAGTTGCAAAGCACATTTGCATTATGGGTATCTCTAAGTGAAATTGAAATTAGATGTACAACCAGTTCAGATCAAGGCATGTGACTAATCTAGCTAATGTTTTGAAGACTCTCGCCCTTGGGCTTGAATACCTTGGAATTTAAAGGATTGGTTGCTTGACCCACCAATGACTCAACCATGCTCCTCTTATATCCTTTTAAAAAAACTTTTGCCTTTCCCTTATTTACACAGTATCCCCCTTGCTGCTGGACCTACACATACGTCTGCTGCGGAAGGCGAAGAAGCAGGTGAAGGTGGAGCAATGGGAGAAGGGTCTCATCAAGTTCTGCCACAGCTACTGCAGGGAGGACGCCTGGGAACTGGAGCGGTTCGGGTACCAGAAGACACGACTCGCCGTGAAACTTCGAATCCTGAAGGTGGGATAAGGCATACATGTGTTAATGCTCAGAGTTTCTGTGCACTGGTGTGCATGTTTCCTGAAAAGTGTTGTTTTGGGTCTTTCTCCTATCATTTCCAGAGTGGTACTCTGACATGATCACTAAAAAAAGTTTAGGTAATCTTTGAAGTCAGAGGGCTGTTTTTCTTTGTTTTCAGTGAATGTAAATATGAATATGTTACATGAGAATTTGATGACTCGAAGTTGGGCACTAGCCTCACTGGTGATTCATTCTAGTTGCCTGAATGACAAAATTTAAGTATTGGAGCATATTATCCATGGTATAGTCAGGAATATAATTATTGATTCTTATCCAGGTGGTTGTCAATGAGTCCCATGGACTTAGGCGTTTTGCCAATATGAGGCAGGGACTCGCTTTAGCAAGTTAACATGAACTCTGGTAGAGATTATTTATTAAAAGCAAAAATCAATGCATCCCAAAGAAATCCAGTTTCGTAAGTCCTCATCACTTTTTTTTCTAGTAAACTCAACAAAATGCTGCACCTATAACTGTGTTGACATATAAATACCATGACAAAATTTTGACTAGTTTTTTCCCAGCTCCTGGAAATGAAGTGCTTCTTTTACCTATTGGGAATATTTCAGAACTGCATAAAATTATCTCACATGTCCATCAGAGGCATACCGTGTTCAAATGTTCTTCAGAAGCATCACAGCATGGTGCTGATGATTGTGGCTTCAGATAATCTGGCCTTGCAAAATTCAGCATATTTAGTTGTCTCATACAGGAGGTGTAAACTTTATGCCCATGCAATTATACCATAGATTTAATTATTTGTATCAAAGTCATTACAATGTCTAAATTTAGTCAAGTGTGATTTTATGCTCTTTCTCAATATAAAACTGAACTGTCTTTTGCAAGGATTGACTAAGAATCATTTCTTATTTCAGAATTTGTGTGAGCTGCAGTTTGACAGCAACTGGAAGTTCAAGTGCAAGGTGAATGCGCTAGAAGCGAATGAGCTGCGACTGCGCCCCATCGGTCGTGACCGAATGGGGAGATACTACTGGCTCCAGATTGATGACCGGGCCAACCTTCGTGTGTATTGCGAGGATCTCGACGACGAGAAGTGGTCCCTTGTGGCACAGTAAGATTCAGCAGAGATGCAATTGAATTTTTCCCGTGAAGTATTTAAATAAAAATATTAAATTTGTGGGAAAAATGTATTATTATCGTTCAGGTAGCTAAATCTTTATTCCCTTTTTCCTTTTTGTTGCGATGTTTTATTCATTTCTTTATAAGCATGTGTAAGGCTGAATCCGATATGGTTTCTCCTTACACCATAAAGATTTAAAACCAGAATATAGCTTGATTTGGTCAACCATGTGTATCAACTTTGTTTTAAAATTTCTTAGCCTTTAGTCTCTTCTGGATTTTTTAACAGCATTATTTCCTTTTATAATTGGTGGTAGACATTTTGAAATTTGACTAGAAATTTAAAATTATTTTTGGTGATAGCTGACACTTTTGGTGAATCTTTGATTGTATTGGAAAAGGAGACAAGCAGCATGTACAGGAAAAGAATTGTGTCCTCAATGGCTAAAGTATTTCCAAGAGTGTCCCTTAGATAGAGAGGAAACTGATCACTGTCCATGTCCATATTCCTAAATATGCATTTGTTGAAGTTCTTTTGGTTTTAATATCATGATTAAATAGTGATTTGCCTTCTAGTTTACTCAACCTTTTCCAGTCAGCCTGTAACATGTTCATCTCCACCTTTTTAGAGGAGAGCAATGTGTTGTAAGTAATAACTTTTATTACCTTTTAGTAATTGTATTTGTTGTTCAGATATTGCCTGTGTTCATTAATTGTCTCAAGAGTTTTATTCCATTCCCACTATGGTCTTTGAGAATTTAATTACTCATTTCCTTGTTTAATTCATTCATTGATGATGTGATGTTTAGATTCATTTCCACTGTTGTATTGAATAAAGTCTAATCATTAGTGTGATGAAAATCTGGTCACAGTGATATAGCAGGCATTAGACACTATTGGTTTTGTATTCATTTGCAAAAACTTTTGCTGTATTCAGGGACAAGGTGACCTTGGAGAAACTGATCCAGGAGCTAACGTCACAGGAGCCTGGGTTGAAGAGCGAGAGTGAGTCCCCGGAGGACTCCCGGGATGTGCCCGAGGTCCCCTTCCTGGACACGGGGAAGGTGGAAGAAACTAATGGAGAAGGTGAAGAAGACAATGGTGAAGAGGAGGAGGAAGAAGAGGACAAAGAAAGTGAGAAAGGACAAGAGAATGTACAGAAGGCCCAGGCAGAAGATGAAGAAATGAAGCTGGCAGAATATGTCGAGGAGGAGGAGGAGCCGTTCCAAAGTCCAGAGACGGAAGACGAGGACATGGACTTGGACCTACCGGAGCCTGAAAAGCCAAAACCGAGTGAAGAGAAAGTAAAGGATTCAGTACAAGTTGAAAGTGAAGCTGTAAGAAGGGAAGATGAAGAGCATGGTGTGGAGGAGATTGAATTGGGAGGTGTTCAAGTGAAAAAGGAAGATGAGGTTAGAGTTAGGCAAGAAGACAATGCAGTAAAAGATGAAAGTATCTCACAAGATGTGAGAGAAGTTCAGGAGGAACACAAGGACGATGAATCGAGTGCCAGAACTTTGGTGAAGGATGGACCTACACTTGATGAAAGTGTGAAAGGGAATATTGAAAACAGAGAAAGTGAGCAGGAAAACTCATCTGTGATCCCACCTGACATTGTGAGTGAATCTGAGCTGCCTCACAGTAGTGGGGCTGCTGTGCCACCTGACATCGAAAGTGTTGTTAAGCCACCTGACTCTGAAAGTGCTCCTGAGCCACTTGAAGTTGAGAGTGCTGTGAAGTCTTCTGATGTTAAAAGTGACCCTGAGCCACCTGACATCGAGTGTGCAGTGAAGTCTTCTGACATTGAAAGTGCTCCTGAGCTACCTGACATCGAGATTGCTACCAAGCTACCTGACTGTGACCGTGCCACCAGCCTGTCTGACCTGGACAGTGCAGCGACACCTGTCACAGTGTCATCTGAAGCCAGTACTACAGAAGTGTCATCACTTCAACAGTGTTCTGATAAAGATATGGGTTCAGTCCTTGCAGCTAAAGCTCCTGGGAATGACACAGCTGGTCAGGCTTCTGTACTCACTGTGCATTCTGCCATGGAGACCAAATCAGAAACTGCCAAGGAGCCAGGAGCAATATCTGAAGTGTCTCCAGCAGATGCAGTCTCTCCTGGAACAAGTTCATTTTCATCTGAGGCTTTAAATATCACAACTGTTGCTCCTCAGGGAAGTGAAGGTGGAGAAAGATTCCAAAATGATCCTCAATTAGTTGAGAAACCAGGACTTTCTCAGTCAACTGAAGAACCTGATCAGCAAGAAGCTCCTTGTGCAACTGATGAACCTGAAACTCCAATGTCAACTGATGAACCTGAAGCTCCTATGTCAGCTGATGATCCTGAAGCTCCAATGTCACCTGATCAATCTGAAGCTCCTCGGGCAACTGATGAACCTGAAACTCCAATGTCACCTGATCAACCTGAAGCTTCTCAGGCAACTGAAGGTGAAGTAATTCAAGCAGCAACTGAGTCTAAAGTTCATATTTCAGCTGATGAACCTGAAGCTCCTATGTCACCTGGTGAACCTGAAGCTCCTCAGACATCTGATGAACCTGAAGCTCCTATGTCACCTGATGAACCTGAAGCTCCTGTGTCACCTGTTGAACCTGAAGCTTCTATGTCAGCTGATGATCCTGAAGCTCCTCAAACTTCTGATGAACCTGAAGCTCCAATGTCACCTGATCAATCTGAAGCTCCTCGGGCAACTGATGCATCTGAAACTCCAATGTCACCTGATCAACCTGAAGCCTCTCAGGCAGCTGATGAAGGTGAAGTACTTCATTCAGCAACTGAACCAGAAGTTTCTATGTCAGGTGTAGACCCTGAAGCTCCTCAGTCCAATGATGAAGGTGAAACTACTGAACCAGGTGATGAACCTGTAATCCGTAAAACAGAAGATAAATCTGAAGCTCTTGCATCAGCTGATGAATCCAAAGAGCCTGATCAACCTCCACTAAAAAAAGCAGGGGTGGAACCAGCAGAGGAAGCCATGGAAATATGTAGTGATCTTAACGAAGAAAAAGACTCATCGGTAACAACTACTGTTGAGCATTCAGTATCAGGTCAGCCTGAAGGAGAGAGCATGTCTCCAGAAATGGGTGAAACCTCAGAAGTAATGAGTGGTGCAGCTGAGGCAGCAGTTCCTAGTAATTCGAGAGAGTCGACTGAAGCAGGTCAGTCAGAAGCTGAATCCCTTGTTGAGAGTACCGAAGACACAAAACCACAAGATGATGGAGTGACTTCGATGCTGGAGGACAGCAAGGAGGGTACTGATGTTGTGCCACAGGACACCCAGACTGGGAATTCAGAGAAATTGGAGAGCCCAGCCCCATCTCCAAGTGCAATTGTCAGCCCCAAGCCTGCAGGCACAGTGAAAAGTTTGGTACCTGCATATGATGCCGACAATTCCCCAGAAGCAGATGATGCTGACAGTACAAGCCAAGAAGATGACAAAGGGAAACTTGAAGAGAGTTCAACAAAAGCAGATGATGCACTTGTAACAACACCAGCTGACAGTTCAACACCAGCTGAGGAGAGTTCAGCACTAGAGGATGATGCAGTTGTGAAGAACGCTGCTGACAGTTCGACATCGGAAGGCGATACAGCAGCCTCTGTACCCGAAGACAAGTCTGCACCAATGGTTAGGTCACCCAATGGCTCACAGAATCCAGATAGTTCATCAACAGATGACGCAGGAGCCACAAAACCTGAAGGTAGTTTGATACCGTCGAACGAAGCCGATAGTGACACCATTGTCGAGCCTGTCATGCATATAACCGGTGAAGGTGAAGGCCAGCAGTGTGAAACGGGGAATATCCTGCCCCCCTGCACATTCTGTGAGGTTGGGACAACATGCCGCTGCAATGAGGTGATTGTAGAGGACGTGATGTTGGTCTTTGGTGAGGGCTTTGGGGCCGAGTGCGAGACGGGAAACGTGGGCGAGCAGGAACAGTCGCGGCAGGCCGAGTCCCTATCCGCAAAGCCGGGTCCGGTGAATGGACAGGTCCAACCCTCGTGTGATATGGAATCTCAGTCTGAATCTCAAGATGAACCCAAGTGCAATGGGCAGGGAGAGGCAGCGGATGATCCCGACAAGCAGGATGACGAGGAAGATGACGATGGGCAGGTATGTCTGAGAATCAACATCCTTCAGCTTTTGTTCATTGCCACTCTGCAATGTGTCCAATAATCAATGTGCTGGCAAAAGGGTTCCAAACTTTCTGTGGAAGTACCAAGAAGTGTAAGGGCTTAGTTATAGGGTATAGTTTGATCTGCCACCAGAGATGAGTGATAGATGTTGCAAAAGAAGAAGCAGTTTGAAACTGTTTATTTTCTCTGAAACTCTATATGAAATCATATTTCTCGGAGAACTTCCAGACTTCATAGTTATGACTGATGTCTGTGTCAAAAGTTACTTTTAATATCAGAATTAGTATTAAAATATTGTATAGCCTGTTAATTGTTGTCTGGTTTCATGTTTGCATGCTGGGCCTTAATTTCAATGTACTACCCCTGACATGCAATCGGCTATCATCTCACCTCATATGAATCATGCTACCAAATTGTCTTAGGGAGCTTACAACTCTGTGCAGAACTTATTTTCCTAGAGGAATTGGATCATTACACTTGGCAATCGACAGGTGCCAATAAGAGCCAAACTGTTGTGATGATATTGGCCTGTTAGAGTAGTAGGAGTGCTTAGTTCTGATTTCCTTTACTCATTCCTGGCTTTGCCTGAGACATGTCCACCATTAAGACGCCTTTCTTGCTCCTTCTGGCATTAACCAATCTTAACATTGATGCAAAATGATCAATTTTTCATTTAAAAATCATGGAACAGTGTTTTTGCAATGCCTTATTGGCAGAAAATAAGTTTTCCTGGTAAAACTAAAGTGAATATTTCCTAGTCAGCTATAAAAAACATTATATACACAATTTCACTTTCTTGTGGGGTAGCCTTGAAACCAGGAAGCTTTTGCTAATGCATTTGAGAAGGCAGGCATTAGAGAGTGTCTGACTGTGGCTAAGCTTCTCTGGTTTATTTTTGGAATGTGAGTGTAAGTTCTGTGAAATTTCTCCAGAAAATTACTTCATTTTCCTACTCTTCAAAGAGTGAGAATTTTCTTTGTGGAAAATTTCTAGGTTCCCATAATAATTGCTTTTCATAGGCTTATGGGTGAACAGTCCTGGTAGTCTTGCATAGTTCAACTGGCCCAGAGTGACAGTTTCAGATATTGTCTAGGTCTTTTTTAAGTAGGAAACTGAATTTGCCCAGTTGCACCCTTCTTTCCAATTTTTAAGCCTATGTGATACAATTTTGCTGCCACATGTGACCCAGCAACTTGGACTATAGTTTTTCCCCCAANAAAGCAGGGGTGGAACCAGCAGAGGAAGCCATGGAAATATGTAGTGATCTTAACGAAGAAAAAGACTCATCGGTAACAACTACTGTTGAGCATTCAGTATCAGGTCAGCCTGAAGGAGAGAGCATGTCTCCAGAAACGGGTGAAACCTCAGAAGTAATGAGTGGTGCAGCTGAGGCAGCAGTTCCTAGTAATTCGAGAGAGTCGACTGAAGCAGGTCAGTCAGAAGCTGAATCCCTTGTTGAGAGTACCGAAGACACAAAACCACAAGATGATGGAGTGACTTCGATGCTGGAGGACAGCAAGGAGGGTACTGATGTTGTGCCACAGGACACCCAGACTGGGAATTCAGAGAAATTGGAGAGCCCAGCCCCATCTCCAAGTGCAATTGTCAGCCCCAAGCCTGCAGGCACAGTGAAAAGTTTGGTACCTGCATATGATGCCGACAATTCCCCAGAAGCAGATGATGCTGACAGTACAAGCCAAGAAGATGACAAAGGGAAACTTGAAGAGAGTTCAACAAAAGCAGATGATGCACTTGTAACAACACCAGCTGACAGTTCAACACCAGCTGAGGAGAGTTCAGCACTAGAGGATGATGCAGTTGTGAAGAACGCTGCTGACAGTTCGACATCGGAAGGCGATACAGCAGCCTCTGTACCTGAAGACAAGTCTGCACCAATGGTTAGGTCACCCAATGGCGCACAGAATCCAGATAGTTCATCAACAGATGACGCAGGAGCCACAAAACCTGAAGGTAGTTTGATACCGTCAAATGAAGCCGATAGTGACACCATTGTCGAGCCTGTCATGCATATAACCGGTGAAGGTGAAGGCCAACAGTGTGAAACGGGGAATATCCTGCCCCCCTGCACATTCTGTGAGGTTGGGACAACATGCCGCTGCAATGAGGTGATTGTAGAGGACGTGATGTTGGTCTTTGGCGAGGGCTTTGGGGCCGAGTGCGAGACGGGAAACGTGGGCGAGCAGGAACAGTCGCGGCAGGCTGAGTCCCTATCTGCAAAGCCAGGTCCGGTGAATGGACAGGTCCAACCCTCATGTGATATGGAATCTCAGTCTGAATCTCAAGACGAACCCAAGTGCAATGGGCAGGGAGAGGCAGCGGATGATCCCGACAAGCAGGATGACGAGGAAGACGACGATGGGCAGGTATTTCTGAGAATCAACATCCTTCAGCTTTTGTTAATTGCCACTCTGCAATGTGTCCAATAATCAATGTGCTGGCAAAAGGGTTCCAAACTTTCTGTGGAAGTACCAATAAGTGTAAGGACTTAGTTAAAGGGTATAGTTTGATCTGCCAGAGATGAGTGATAGATGTTGCAAAAGAAGAAGCAGTTTGAAACTGTTTATTTTCTCTGAAACTCTATATGAAATCATATTTCTCTGAGAACTTCCAGACTTCATAGTTATGACTGATGTCTGTGTCAAAAGTTTTTTTTAATATCAGAATTAGTATTAAAATATTGTAAAGCCTGTTAATCGTTGTCTGGTTTCATGTTTGCATGCTGGGCCTTAATTTCAATGTACTACCCCTGACATGCAATCGGCTATCATCTCACCTCATATGAATCATGCTACCAAATTGTCTTAGGGAGCTTACACCTCTGTGCAGAACTTATTTTCCTAGAGGAATTGGTTCATTACCCTTGGCAATCGACAGGTGCCAATAAGAGCCAAACTGTTGTGATGATATTGGCCTGTTAGAGTAGTAGGAGTGCTTAGTTCTGATTTCCTTTACTCATTCCTGGCTTTGCCTGAGACATGTCCACCATTAAGACGCCTTTCTTTCTCCTTCTGGCATTAACCAATCTTAACATTGATGCAAAATGATCAATTTTTCATTTAAAAATCATGGAACAGTGTTTTTGCAATGCCTTATTGGCAGAAAATAAGTATTCCTGGTAAAACTAAAGTGAATATTTCCTAGTCAGCTATAAAAAACATTATATACACAATTTCACTTACTTGTGGGGTAGCCTTGAAACCAGGAAGCTTTTGCTAATGCATTTGAGAAGGCAGGCATTAGAGAGTGTCTGACTGTGGCTAAGCTTCTCTGGTTTATTTTTGGAATGTGAGTGTAAGTTTTGTGAAATTTCTCCAGAAAATTACTTCATTTTCCTACTCTTCAAAGAGTGAGATTTTTCTTTGTGGAAAATTTCTAGGTTCCTATAATAATTGCTTTTCATAGGCTTATGGGTGAACAGTCCTGGTAGTCTTGCATAGTTCAACTGGCCCAGAGTGACAGTTTCAGATATTGTCTAGGTCTTTTGAAAGTAGGAAACTGAATTTGCCCAGTTGCACCCTTCTTTCCAATTTTTAAGCCTATGTGATACAATTTTGCTGCCACATGTGACCCAGCAACTTGGACTATAGTTTTTCCCCCAAGAATTTTGTATGAATGGTCATGTCCATGGCAATTGTGGTCTTTCAGTTTCTTACTTGTTGAAGTCTCTGTTTTGTTAAGAAAAGTACCTCAAATTCGAGTGATAAGACATGTGTTTCATGAAGTTTCATGTGTTTCATGTACCTTGAGCTATAGTATTCTCAAGAATTCACAAAGTGAAAGAAAGCTCTGACCATTCATGGAGGTGGTCATATCCTCTACAGCCATGGTGTCCAATACGTTTGCCACTTGCCACATTTTACTTTTTATTTTACTGTGTATCAGTCTTGATTGATGATGTTTACAACCTCAAACTTACTTTCAAAAGATTGTGCATTCTTTTTGTTAATAGTGCATATATTTTGTATAATGTGTCGAAACATGGTGACCCGATCGCCACAAGTTTGGCGAGCATTGAAATCCTATTGGACACCACTGCTCTACAGGATGAGTCAGAAGTTCCAATCAGTTTGCATTTGGCCCAATTTTTCAAGATTTGTTTTGGTGACACTGGTGGAGTGGCAAGTGTGTATTCAGGGCCACATACACTGCTCACAGCTGAAGTTGAACAGTTGCAGAGCTTAAGGCAGTTGCTTGCTGTGCCTTTGCAAGAATCACACCATCCATGTGGAAGGACACATGTGTGGTGCTTAGTGGGTATTTGCTTTTGGTGAAGCAGTGTGCATGCTGATATCTATGCATTGCTGGTATGCACTATACACTGCATCATAAGGTGGGGATATGAAATTTATTAATGAATGCACAAACCTGAAGCACATGTTACTGCAATGCACACTGATTGGGACTTCTGGTCCTCCTTGTGCATAGCATAAGTGTAGATGCCCTACTAGATATTCATTTCAAAGAAAATGGGAGGGCCTG